AATCATCCTAATCGAGGGGAATTGGTTTTTCCTACGTAATGCACTTTGTGATATCACATAATGTGCCCGTCAGAGGTCAAAATATCGCGCTACGGGGCTTGACGGGACAAACTTTTGACCATGTTAAAATGGCAAGTCAAGATTCTTAGCTTCCGTCTAAGAGCATGTGCGAAACGGAAGTTAGACTAACTCTTTGATTTGCCTCGTCTCCCCCCGCCCCGCTCCTGGATATTTCAAATTTCTTAACTTATACTTGAAATTTCTTCCTTCCTTCCGTTACATATAACCGTTCAATAGCTATTCCATTGACCATACAGGAGCCGCCTCAAACAAAAATCGAGTATTTCTTCACCCCTCTTACAAGCCTAAACCCTTGAGCGTTTTGAAATGCCCAACTTCCGCGGTGGTCTACAAAAAAGACAAGACGAAAAGCGGCTAACATATCAAAGGGAACAAGCGAGTTGTTCTGAATTTATTTTTTATAGCACTTGAATTTCGCTGAACGTATCTCATCCAACACTCCGGCCGCTGGACCCCATTGCAACCTGAGACGTTATCTTATTACTTTGTTTATGTTCTCCTTATCCGCCTCACGAGGTTGAGATGGAGATTTATTACAGCGCAACGTTCCACCTTCACTTCAAGATTTCAGAATTCCACCGCCTTAAGTATAGGCACATTCATTAGTACATTATACGAATGTATGTATCGTTAGTGATTGAATGTATACGGTTGACTGCAATGATCTGATAGACAGTTTATGGCTAACGTTCGGCGAGTTCGCCTTCTTCGAGCCTAAAAGGATGGAAGCCGATTTTATGAGTATCCGACCAAAAATCTCCACACACCTACTAGATCTTCGACACCACCTAATCGTCACGTAATCACAAGGGAGAAGAAACACCGTACCTTTACCAGATCCACTGGATCAGCCAACTACAAGCACAGTACAGTAAGACTTGGGGACTTATCAGGGCAGTAGGCTAGCTGATCACGGTGGGAGTCAGGCTTATCATGGCGGCTAACTCGCTTAACATGACCGCATTCTTCCTCCGTTCATTTGGATATTTCGTACATAATATCAGAAAACGCTCGAGCATGCGCAGCTGAAATTGGCGTGCGCCTCCAGTACCTCTATCTGACCCAAAATCTCCCCTATGTTGGTTGTGCTGTTGTTACGTATTAAAGATTTTTCACTCCTACTAAATTAACTCAGAATGCCGTCGAGTAAAAAATTGGTGAACAATGCCTTGGGTCGTAAATTTCCCTTCGTTTGAGGAAAATGTTGCCCTGGGCTAAGTTTTGACCTGGAAAACTCCGCGCATCGGTCGAAGGCCCTGTGGAGACAAGATATCGGTATCGTACTTTGAGAAAGCTACAGCCACATTTGACGTTTGAGAGCAGCCATAGATTTATTTAGGCTTTGGTCCAGGTTGGAAAGTTCTTTGAATCTACAATCTACATGTTTCCCGTGGGAGTTTTTTCCTATAGACTTTTTGTTTCAAAGATATTTTTATTATTTCGTATACAAATATACTAATACAAACTATACTAATGCCTATACAAACTTTACTAATGCCTTCTCTTAACATTCAGGCAATGCAGTTGGCAAAACGAACAACATCTGAAGGAGTATTCTCTTTATCCCTCGCCGGAAGAACGCTCCAACTCCACGTGGGGATCAGCTGGGCATTCTTCTTTGAGTAAACGCTGCCCCTGCGAAAAAGAAAATCTACCTTAGCTGTTCTACTCCAAGCTCACAACCTACCCGGGTAGCCCCTTAATCTGCTCAAAGTGCCAGACAATATCCACAAGGAACTCCCTGCTTATGACGGCATCGGCCGCCCCGCCTCCTCTCTCACCACACCCACTCTAGGATGGAAGTTTCTTTCACAACATGCGCGCCGCCGCCTTGGTTGTCATCGCAGCAGGTTGGTGTTCCTCTCTTTGAACCTCTCTTTCATTTTTAAACAATCTATACTACTGCGGTTCTGCTTAGTCCTCAATGTTGCGAGTGTTGCGGGTTTCCTAGAACAGCTGTTTGACAGATAGAGCTTTTATGACTTACAATTAGGGCTTCAAAACCCCAAATCCAACCCATATTCGATAGCCTTGCGAGAAGCTCATGTGCCATCACCAGTGGTGGATTTCAGGAGATTTTTAGCAGTTGCGATTAACAGCCTTTGAATTTTGCCATCTACACTGTCATTTTGATAGCGCCTTTTGGCAGCCATTCGTTTTCTCTCAGCGAAGATTGTTCCCTTGAGGATTTTCGTGTCCAAGCCGTTCCATCAGTGATGTCTACCAGTCTGTCATTGTCAAAGTATCCCCTCGCGGCTTTGGCAGCAAAATTCAGCTCGAACAAAGAGTTTCAGGGGAACGCGATTGGATTTTTGAGGATCATTTTTTGAGGGTTGAAGGAGGGTGGCACACTTTTTTCTCGCCGAAATATTCCAGAGGTGGGTGTAGGGTCGGAGTTAGCCACGACCCTCAAGGTGTCAATTAGGGACTGGCGGGTACTGGTCGTTTATGGGCCTTCTAAAAGTTTCAATTTCGACGTATGTTTATGTTCAAAATCTCAGTAAAATGACTCAGAGGGTAATCGATAACTGCCTAACGGTACTGTGGGCTGTCACCAAGCAGGCAGAACAATATCCAGGATCAAAGTAGCTAATTCTTAACACATTGCGTACCGCGTGCGCCACATGGTGGCGCACGACATTCCTGCTCCGTGTGGCCGCGTGCGCCACATGGTGGCGCACGATCTTTTCTTCACAACGGTTGACGTTTATTATTTCGTGTTTGTGCAGATATACGATTTATCACTAAGAGGACAACATATTCGAGTGGGACGTCTCTAGATAATTAATCAGTATTTGTACATGATATTCAAATTAATGCCTAATTTGGAAACGGATTTTGCTTGAATAAAAGGCATTCTTTCAAGCAATTTCACAATCTAGACGTAATGCAAATGAATTGGAATAATGTGTTGCATCCAAAATCACCAAAAGAAGGTGATGCGCAGCAGAATATCAGCGTTAAGGCGTCATGAGCGCTTTTTCCACCTCACATGTCTTTCGGCGGTATATTTTCGACGCCTCATACTACTAGGCACTCAGAAATACCTATACTCAGAATCATACTCACGATTGCCCTACCCTGGTATCAAATTAGGCGGTAAATGTACGGCAAACTATGGAGTTAACCTACCCACTTCCTGCGATGGTCCGGTGAAGGGTGAAATGCGTCTACAAATATTCTGCAAATCTTAATGATCGTCGCTGCTGTTCAATAAAGATGCTTAAGCAGATTGTGGGGTAATGGAACAAACTTGTTTGCCGTCGCTAGTTTGCACCAGAAAATGGTCAAAGCAGATTTTTGGGTCCATCACTATTGCTGTGGTGTAACTATTCGTTAACTACTAGGAAGGTTGTAGTAACAGACGATAGGCAAATTGATGCGAGTATGGGGCATAAATCGTACCTATCTGATGTATGAACGACAGTGAGAGACCCCTACAATAAGGATGGGTTCTAATATGTTGCCGTCTATGGCGAATGCGGCCAATGGTTGGCGCCGACTGGCATGCAGAGCGGCCATGCGAGCTCGCCAGCGCAAAAAGGTCTTGGTACGCATGTGTTCATAACAGCATTGTCAGTGAGAGCAGCTTCGTAAGTGGCCTTTTTAGGGGGCCTCTAAAAAGGTGCCCTTAGTTTATGCCTGATACTTGGATAATTTCGGCCGCATTACAAGTACTGATATGAGCCATTTAGTTAGAGAATTAGCAGTGACGTGGTGTGGTTTAAGTCGGGCCGTAGTCAACAATGAAAAGGGGACGCTATGTGGTTTGCCGTTATAGGAGGGGGGGGGGGGATTTCATGGGTGAGGCGCTTACAGCACTCTGGTGACTAGCTATAGAGAGGGGAAGGCGATTTCTGGGGAGCGGCCTGGGAGAGCATGTCCCTGGCGTTCCTTCCCTCTCTTGGGCCTATGATTAGTCCTAGTGTCACGTACCAGCGACTTTTGACTGCCCCGCTTTGCATGTCCCCCCCCCCTCAAGGACATGAGCACCATGAAAAAACACTAAACTGCTCTCAGAATTAATCTTCTAATGTCCTACAGGAAAATATCAGTATTTTGGAGTTTCACAGTCCTTATTACCAGATAATAAGTGGATAAAGGGCGATTTCACAGCGCGAACCCCTAATTCCAATGAAATTCATGAGCAGAAGGCTTAATCACTTTCAAGAGGGATTAGCACGATTAAGTTAGAGTTTAAGACTCTTTTTCTTTTTCACATTGCTTGCTATTGTTCAAAAAAATCCCTCACAAGTATGCGTGGTGAATCACAAGTTTTTGAGCCATTCTGTGAACGCGCCATGTACGCGACATCCCCTCAAATTTGCGAAGGCGTGTCAAATTGTTTCGCTTCCAAATGATTTATTAAGAAATTATCGTGAAGAATTCACCTTGTTAATGTTCTTGTTAATTACCGCTTAAGGGCGCGTGCGGAGCGGAAGTGATGTTAACTACCTGAATTACCTGATCCGTATTATGTTTTTTGTTTTTCTTATTTACAAATTGAGTTTTTCTATATTTGGCAGGAAGAATTGAGCTGATATGGGTGGACTTGTCCTGGAGATGCGCTCATGAAACCTGAAGTTTTATCCCATTTTAGTTCCGTGCTACGGCGATCTGGGTGAAGGGTGCACAGGCAAGTGGCGCAAAGTACTGCGAGCGGGGGAACAGATCAGGCCTGAACTCGAATCTCGCTCAGGTCAACCAAACCATCCACTCCTCCGGGTTAGCTGACTTGTGATAGATCCGTCTGAGAGATCAATTGGCTCTCGCAAACAGTTGCACAAACGAAATAGTATTTAATAGTTACCACGATTGGAAGGAATGTGTGACGCTCCCAAATGGGATTGGTAGGATTGATCAACACCCACTGCTTTGTCCTATGGATGGATCTCTGGTCTTAACAGAATTTTAAGATTATGGATATCGTAAATTTCAAGCTCATGCTGGCTCGGCAATTTTCCAGAGAATGTATTATTTTGATGGGTTCATTAGATATTTGCTCAAAGCTTCTCTATTAGCACGGAACTCTCCTATTTCTCTCCTCCGTGCAGCCCTCAAATTGTATGCTCTGACTTATAGTCAAATTTCACTCTAACACTTCAAAAATGTTGTATCAGTGAAACCTTAGCA